ATAGTATTGAAAAATGCTTTGCAAGTTTGCATCCTGCTATTGATTTATTTAAAAAAAAATTATTAATCTATTTAAATATTTGTAAAATTTCGTAAGTTCATGAAGTTACAAAAAATATAAATCAAGTGATTCATCATTATGACTTATAATTTAAATAGTGCATTATAAATATTTTTAAACTTCTGTAAACTTTCATAAGTTTTTACAGTAAATAAGAAAATCATAAACTTATATAAAAATATTACGCAAATTTATGCTTTTCTTATGATGTGTAAGAAAATTATAAATTTGCATAATATATTTACATAAATTTACACTTTTCTTACGCATCATAAGAAAAGCGTAAATTTGCATAATATATTTATATAAATTTACAATTTTCTTACACATCATAAGAAAAGCATAAATTTGCATAATATTTTTACGTAAATTTACGATTTTCTTATGTACTATAAAACTTACGAAAGTTTATGCTTATATATTTTTGCTGATGACTATGGCTTCTTTGTATAAAAAACCCAAATTAATATCTTCTTTAGAGGCAATACTGCATGCAGTACATATTATGTCTCATACATGGAAGTATGAAACAAGACTGGAAAAGGAACGTATTAAAAAATCTAATCCCTTAACAAGATTAATAAAGGGCCCGAATATATGGAATGTTGCAGTAATTGATAATATTGATTTTAAAGACATTATTTTTAAGTATGGAAATATATACGATGTTACATGACAATCTGTGCATGCCACTTTACGAATGGTGTTTCAATTTGAACTTCCTTTTAATCTTTTATCTCTTAATTAAGAAAGTTCAAATCTTCAAGAAAATCTATTTGGTTAATCAGAATTTACATCTAAATGAGATAAAATATTTGATCAAATAATAAAACAATTATTAGATAAGTATAACAATAATTTTGGAGTTAAAGAAATTAATAAAGAAATATTACTGTATGTCACTAACTATAGTACCCCCCTGTCATAATACCCCCTATGAAAAGACCTGGATACTATTCACGGGTTCGTGATTCAAAAAATTGAATAAGACCCGGGTATTATTCTAGCTATATATATATTTAGATTTGAAGTCTTTATTAAATAATATTGAAGCTATGTAAAGTACCCTCCTATTATAGTACCCTCCTCCGTAATTAGTACCCGGGTGGGTACTATTCAAGAAATTTGATAATTTATTGAATAGTATCTGGGTACTATAGTCAGTGGCGTACGGTAAATAATGTTGAATCGGGATATTGAATAAATGCACCAAATATTGTTATATTAGAACTTAAACCAGCGCCTAATAGCAATGAAGCTGTGTTTAAATTAATTGATATATATCTAAAAAATCTTGAACAAAATGTTATTGATTTACAGTAGCATGTGATGCAGCTATTTTTACAAGAACTAAATTATATAAAAATGAAAACTTAGCCTATAAATTTATTCTTGGGCAATGGCATATGTCAAAGACCATGTTAAGTGCTTTAATTTTAGCATTTAGTGGGTATGGGATTTATAGTATGGCAGTGAAATTAGGTGTTCAATTTCTTGATAAGCTAGAGCAAAATGTAGACTACCATGCAACTTGTAAAGTAGTAGAATTAATACATACTGCTGTAGGAATAGCAATTTGCCTTCATTTAAATAGTAATAATATACTATTAGATATGGAAACTATATTTAGAAAAAATAATCATCTTTTAAAAGTGTGGTTTTTATATTACTGTTTAGCCAGTTACTGGAAATAGCATCATGTAGGAATTTGCTTGGGTAATGCAGATATGCAATTAAAAAATTTGGCAGCATTTGCGCCACTATTCCCTACTATTGGTAAAAATATTTATACATTATTAGTAGTAACTTTTTTAGAATCTGTATCATGCCACCCACAGCAATATGAACTACTAAAGCATGTTGCTTCTGTAAATATTACTTGAGAAAATCATTATCTGGCTTTGGATGAAGCATTAGAACAATATGGTGTTAAATACATTAAACAAAATTTAACATCTGGCTCATCAGATCCAGAAATTTTAAAGCAACAAATGACGGCAATTCAAAATGAATGTGAAAGATTGTTGTTGCTTTTAAATAAATTTGTAGAAGACAATATAATTAATATAGGAGATCATACAACTAAACAATATATAGAACTATTGTAGCAACTTGTTGAAGAACTTACCAATGCATTTAATATTCCTAATTCTACACAATATAATCTTTTTAAGCATGTGCAAGAATTGACTCTAGCTGGTTATACACGAATGTTTAATTTCTATCAAAAAGGTCTTGCTTGATTGAATAATATATTGTATAAAGAAGTTTATCAAACTAAAAAATAAAGATACAAAAGGAAGGCGAGCAAAAGATATCATTAATGTTTCTGCTAAAGAGTATATATTAGCTACAAAAAATAATTAAAAACATATAATTAATAAATTACAACAATCTGAGTATTAAAAAAGATATAAATTTTCTATTTGAAATATGGCAAAAATCGCCAATTTGTAATACTGTAAAAATTTATTAATAAAACCTACTTTTTGGTTTTAAGTAACCATATAACTCTTCGTTTGTACTTGCTTATGATTTAAAAAGATCCAAAGTAACTAGTTTTTGCAAAAAGAATGTGGGCTGTGAAGCTAAAATTATACCCTTTCTTTGTCCTATAGTTTCTAATAAAAAAAAAAATAAAAAAAACTGCAAATAATGCAATAAATTTAGAAAATTAAGTTTTGCTAAATATAAAGATAGAGTATTTAGTAAGTTTTATGTTTTTTTTTATAACGAACAAAGGTAATGATTTTAATTTTTGTGTAATGTTACTAAGTAAAATTAATCTGCATGACATATTCCCTGACTGATACTCATTCTCTTGGAATCTATCGAATATTAATTAATCTTATACTAAAATGTACTATCTTTGTAATGTTTAGTAGATAAAAAATAATGATAACAAACTAGTTCTAATTTTTGCTGTAATAGGCAGGTACACATATGATCCATTATTTAAACAAAAAATTATATAATTTATGCTATGCTCAGTAATTCGAAAAATTTTTCAAACTTCTTTGATATTAGTCTTATCTAGTTGATTCAAAAGAAATCATGTATATACAAGAATACTATCTGGCTCATCTTCAAAAAATTCATTTCCAGATGGTTTACCTGTTGGTATATTCTCAACTTCTTCGATATTTGAACAAAAATGTTGTATAATAAACACACTCTTTTATTTGTCTAACCAAGTATTGTGCAATATTCAGGTGCAAGTAATGTGTAACAATTTCTTCTACCTTTGGAAAAATTATTACATTATTTGTAGTTGAAGAAACCTCTCTAACTAAATCTTCATACTTCCTTTTGTTTACTCTATTTTCAGCTTGGTCCAAAAGAACTTTACTGATCTCGCAAAGAGAAGTGTTACTATTTTCAAGTACACACTTAATGTATATATTTTGACTCTCAACAAAGAAAGTTGACTCAATTTCAAGGGTGAACAATGTTGCCATAAACCCCATACCCAGGACTTACGTTGTTCATATAAGTATCTTTCCAGAAAGCAGAGTAAAAACTATCAAATTCTGCACCTAATTTTACACATAGCATCTTTTTAAGGTTCTCTTTGATATGCCATATACAGAAAATATAGTGAGTAGTTGGAAGTTCAATTAAGGCTGCTCTATGCATAGCAGGGTCACTATCGGTAATAATTACACTGAGCATGTATCCTTTTGTTGCATTCTTTATCATATATAACATCCATTGATATAATTCTGTAGTTTCGTCACTTAGAAGAGCTTGTGCAATTACTTGAGACTTTATATTGTTGTCACAAACTACAAAGAGGGATAATGGTATATGGTAGTGATTTGTTTCAGATATATTGTTGTAATCTACTGATAGTGTTCCAAACTGTTAAAATTTTACCAACTAGTTAGTTGCTAACTATAGTTGGCAACTAACCGGTTACGTAATCACGTGACTAATTTAACCAGTTAGTTGGTTAGTTGGTTAAGTTGGTTAAGTTGGTTAGTTGGTTAGTTGGTTGGTTAGTTATTGGCTAAGAGCAATGATCAAAAAATTAGGCCAGAATTACTCATAATTTTACTAGTGAAGTCGCAGCTACCTATTAAGTAAAAATTGTTCTTGGGCCAATTTTACTATAATGCAGGCTTATTTTTTAAATATTTCTATTTTTGTAATAAAAAAATTTCCGGCCGGAAATTAGAAAACAATTATGTAATGCGGACCAAAATTTTAGAGATCCTCGGCAGTTAGCCAATCAAAATCGAGGATCTGCCACGCATTTTTTGTGTGGCACCTAGGGAAAGTTTATTTTAAAGGCGGCATTTATATATACAGTATATAAAATTTGGTTATTTTTACCAATAAGATTACCTACTAGCTACTAAAATCTGAATTTTTTAATTTCTACTGTGCCGTAGATCCCTGGTCTTATACAACCTCTTATTCCTGCCATTGCAATGATTATAATAGTAGGTGTAATTAAAATAAGCCATTTTTATATTTATATTTAATTAGTCTGTAAGTATAGTCTAAATATGTCAAAAAAAATTTTGCCGCTTAGATTATTTTATCTTGGTAAGATTATTCATTCCTCACTAAGTTAACCGGTAAATATACAATCAAAGAACTTTTATACTTCCACCATAGGGTAAGTTAAAATTAATTGCATATTCGCTTTATTAATATATTTATATTTATAAGTTTAAAAATCTCATTCAATCAGAAAGTAATACCCTTAAAGTATATGGATTAACTCAGGAAAGCTAGGGTGTCTGGCATAGTGGCAAAGGCATGCCAATGGTGGCATGCCAATAGTGGCATGCCCTGGCATGCCAAAAACAAATTTGGCATGCCACTGGGTACAGTATAAAAATTATACTTACAATACCCAAACCATATATATAGTATATATATATTATAAATAATATATAATATTTTATAGCATGCCTTTTGGCATGCCATGGCACAAATTTTAACAAAAGGCATGCCCTGTGGCATGCCAAATTTTTTTGGTGTGCCAGACACCCTAGGAAAGCACAACAAATGAGTATATATTCGTTTATGATTTTAAAAGAGATAATGCAAATTGCAACCGATATAACACATCAAAAGCTTGGAATCAAACATGTGATCCTCAGAAAACTGTACAAGAACAGACAAATGGAAATAAAAATATCGATAATTGCATTAAAGAATTACAACTTAAAGCACAAAATATGAAGATGTGATTGAGTAGATTCCTTTTAATAGATTAGGTAATGTTCAAAATTTTCATTTAATAAAATCCAGTTGCTATCTTCTGAGGAATCTTTGGCCCCATAATTTTATTAGTTTATTGCTTGTGCTATCTATCACTATACAAGTTTATATAATTAATTATTTTTTTTGTCAAAGAAATAGCTTGCATGATGCATACATTACTAATCTTGGTCTTTCAAAAAAGGTAAAAGATGAAAATTTGCAGAATTCTACCATATATAGTGCCTGAAGTTTTGATAGGTCAGCTGTATACTCTAGCATCAGATATTTACAGCCTTGGAATTATCACGACAGAGATTTCAACCGGACAAAGAGCATTTGATGGAATTTTATTTAATGATGATATTGCTTTAAGAATATTAAGTGGATTTAGACCTAAATGTTTAGGACCAGATTATTATATTAAATTAGCTACGAAATATATGAATAAAGATTTTGTTAAGCGACCTACTGTGTCAGAAATTATTGAAATAATTACAAGTTGGTTAAATAAAATGGATCAGGAAGATGTTAATAAAATCAAAAATCAAATTTTGGAAGCCAGTAAGACTAAGCCAGAGTCAGTTAAACAAATACATTCTCAAGAGGTTTATACATGATACACAAAAAATTTCTGAATATATTAGTAAACCGATTAGTACAATCAAAATTTCAATTATGTAACTTGACAAAGCAATATCGCTTTGTAGCATGTAACTTTGATCATAGTTTTTATAAACATACTTTAATAAATATATGTTCTATACAAAGTTAATAGTAAACACTATTACTTAAAGACACTATTACTAATTTATTATTTGTGGTGATTTATAATTCTTATAGCGAAAATTTATATACAAAATATTATAAACTTTAGTCTTATCTGAACTCAAGCCTACTTGTATTTGTACTGTATATTATAATGCCCATAATCTAAACTCAACAAATCGCAAAAAAATTAGGCTATATATGTTTGCTACAATAATTTTATACTAAATTAGGACTGATAGTTTTGGTCCATACCAAGCTGGCCCGGTCCAAGACTATGTTTTAGTTAAACTACTATTTAATATCTAGATACTTTTCTGTTCTTAGTTTTGCATGATGATGTTGTGCAGCTACCTTATTAATTATCATTCTGGTGAATATATGTGATTGAGTTAGTTGCGAATAGTTGTGTAGTTGATTAACATAGGCAACCAGTTAGTTGACAACTAGTTGACAACTAATGGTTAACCATAGTTGAACTAGTTGATTATAAACCGGTTAGTTGATTAAAAAATTTCTAACCGGTTAGTTGGAAAGTTGTCAACTATTCGGTTTTTCAACTAACGATTTGGAACACTATCTACCAATTCACTAAACTTATAATACAAAATTATTTGGTCAGGACTTATCCAAAAGAGCCCAGTTAAGGTATTTGTTTCAATTTCCCATGTTACTTCCACAAACCATTGGGGATCTTCACGTTGTTTACTAAATAGCTCTTTATAGAATCTTACTGCATCATCCTCATTAAATTGTGCTAATGGTTTGCATTTTTGAATTTTCTTATATAGGTCCTTAGAAAAAACAGGGTGAAGAATACTTTTGTTTAAGAACCTATCTAATTAAAATTACACCAAAATGACATCACCTCACATTTATTTTGTGAAGGCTTTATCTTTTTCGAATTGAAGAGCCTCTGGATACATTTCATAGTTATTTTCATTATTTAATATTGTTATATAGACGTAGTTATTCAAATTCTGTTTTAACAGTCGCAAGAGATTAACATGCTATTGGCATTCTATTTTATTTGACTTCTCTGATTTTATAGGATTTACTGGTTGATATTGACCAGCATGACAACAAAGAATTGTTCTTTTTTGCATGATTTTTTCTTCACTTTTCATTTCAATAATAGTACTCCAGCCCAACCTTGTCTTAAACTCTTTGAACTCAGCATAACTTTTTATATACTGTTCAGTTTCTTTAAAATTAGAAAATAGATCTTCTTCACTTATCGTAATTACTTTGAAATTTATATTTAAGTCATCCACATCTACATGACCATGATATACTTTATCAAAATAATCTTCCATGTTAACTTCTGTATTCTCCATGGCTTTATACATGTTTGTTTTATTATTATTCATGGTATTACTTGTGATAATTTGATGATTTTCACTTATTGTAATTGCTTTGAATTTTGTATTTAGGTCATCCACATCTACACTACTACGATATACTTTATCAAAATAATTTTTCATGTTAACTTCTGTATTCTCCATGGCTTTATATGTGTTTGTTTTATTATTATTCACAGTGTTACTTGTGCTAATTTGATGATTTTTTTCAGTTTCATCCATGTTTTCATCTATACTAACACGTTTCATTATATATTTATAGCTCTGAGTAGTGTTACAAGCTGGCTAGGGCAGCCGCGGCTAAGGCAGCTTAGCCGGCTAAGCCAGCTAATGTAATATGATCAGCTGGCTAATGCGGCTTAAGGTCACATAACTCTGGTAATATAATTTAGACCAGAACGAAATGTCAGGCTAAATTAAATAGCAGAAAGCAAGGATCCGAAAGTTTTTGAAGAAAAAAATGAACCAACATCAAAGACAAGCAAGATTGAGAAAAAAAAAAAAGAACCAATATCAAAGATGAGCAAGGTTGAAAAAAAAATTGAAGTAATTTCCAATATCTTATAAAGTAAAATTTTTTTGCTTATTTTAGCCATTAGCAGCTGCTAAGCCGATTTTTTTATCAGCTGGCTTAGCTAGCTGATAAAAACCTTACAGCTTGTAACACTAGCTTTGAGAATGAAAAATTAATTGTATTGCTTGTACTAACTTCATTTTCATTGTCTTTCTCTATACTAATGCTTATATAATTGTAGAAGAGAGATCAGGATAGAATTAGTTGTATTACTGTATATGTATATGTAAATTATTGTTGTTATGATGTAATATGTGAATCATTGTTGTTGTGATGTAATTTCATCATAGGTTATCAAATTTGTGTTACCGATGCACTTAGTACACTATACATCAAATAATAAAACCCTTAAATCTTATTGTTACTGCCAGTTTAACACCTATTAAATCTTCTATCAAAAACATACGTAATCTTGTTAAAGCCATCAATTCTTCTTCATTTATAACTCAAGATTTTAGAGAACTTGGAAAATCAGTTGGTGAAAGTGAATCAATTCCAAGATATTTTGACCTGATAGAACAGCACATACTTTATGCTTTTCTTTACTGAAACTATAAAAAAATAAAAAATATTATTATTATATATTTATTTATTTTATTTTTATTTTTTTCTTTAATAACCTCGCACTAATTTATTAGAAAGTTTAGCAATTTACAACATTTGCAAAACTAACTATCTAACTTTACAGATTAGGCAAATACACGGCTGCTATAAAAGTGCCCAAGTATGGTTATCGCACTGATGTTGCCAACAAGCTCCACATACAGTAATACCCGTATTTAAAAACCTGCTATAGCTTGGTACTCAGCTATCTATGTTCGAATTGATTATATTTTACCTTCTTTCTAGACTTATTCCACCAATGTTCGGGCAGAATATATTTTCTCCTACTTCTGTATAGTGCAAATATATATGCCAATTTACAAAAGAAAGACTTCTTTTAAGAGCCAATCACTCCTTTCAAACTTATCTCATCTAAAATTTTGGTAATATTTTCCTGAACTTAATTCACTTAGATCCTAGCAAATTTATACTACCTCCTACATAAGACTAACATATATGCTAAAATTATAAAAGAAAGTATATTTAAAGAAGCTCTCTAAAGGCTTTCCCATAACTAAAAAAAATAAAAATTGTTCTAAAAAAGAAAACAGAACTCAAAAGAGAAAATGAAACAGCAAGAAAAAAAGGAAAGAGAAACCTAAACTGATTCTAATATAAATGAAAATAGATAAAACAAACAGAAAAAAGAACAAATTAGATCCAAATACACTATTATAACCCATGCCAGGTGGTTTAAAAATTATATACTAGATGCGACATCTATATATCTTTGTTGTAAGACTAACTTAACCTTAAAATTCCCTCCGACCTATTTCTGAATTTTTTTAATAACCTAGTCCATATTTCAAGTCAAGTGCTGCCACTATACTAGAATCTAACTCTTTATATATAGCGCCAACAACGACAAGATTGTGACATTTCTATAAAGGCACTATAACTCGGGTACTTGTATCTCAAGCCACTTGCTGCTATCACTAGAGATTTCTTTTTTGACCAGAACTCGTTCCAGGGCCTATACAATATATTCATCTCCAAATATGTGGTTGCTATCTACCAGTCTATCTGGATTTGGTAAGTAAACAATACCGATCTTTTGGAGGAGATAAGCCAAATCTCCACTTTTTATAAAAAATTTTGAAGATTGACAGACAAATGACAAGAAGTAAAAAAAGACCACTTGAGCTTCTAACCACTTTGAAAGAGTGTGAGTTTTCTTTTCTACAGTCAAGACCTACTGCCCAACATCTGCTTAACATTTTTTCGGTAAGTGATAAACTCTGGGCTTGTTGGCAGGTAGCATATGAAAACTACTTCTAAATGACAAGTGCCAAGACTTTGCAGTGAGTGATAAACTCTAAGCCTATCAGCAAATAGCATATGAGAACTACTTTTAAATGACAAGTACTGCCTTACTGTCTAGTATATTAAGTGCCGGCTTGTAAGGTTTCTTCTTGCAGTAAAATATTTTTCAGAAAATATAATTCAAGTGATTGTCAGAAAGAGTTTTTTTACCGCCAGTATTAGCAAACCAATAATACTTAACATATTGGCCGATTTTGATTTTTGGGTCTTTTTTAGATCAAAAATTATACAAATTTTTGCTTCTAAGTAACGTTGAAAAAATAACAAACGAAGCACTCATACAACTAATTAAAGTGCTTTTTTAGCATCTAGACAAAATAAAAAATAAAAAAATCAAATAAAATAGCTATACTAAGCTGTAGAAAGGCGTACTTTTACTGTTTGTTAATATATTCAGATATTTTAGAATTGGTTCATTATTGTTTGATTGGTTGTTAACTACCAAGATGAAATCGGAAGCAAATTTTTTTAAAAATGGCCTTTTTAACCTACTTTTGGTCTATAATAAAACATGTAAATCTCATAATTTTCTACATGTTTAATTAAAAGTACAAAGTTTGTTAAAAAGGCCATTTTTATAAAAATTTGCTTCGTAAAAATTTTAAACGTAAAATTTTTGAAAATGCTCAATTATGATTGGCTGATTTGGGGGTCAAAACAAAATTAGCCGATATGATTAAATTAATTAGTTGTAGATTTAAAAAATATTTTCTTGATATAGCAGAAAACTATATGATTTATTATCCCTTAAACTGTAGACAAATTTAGTGTTCAAAGATAAGCCGGCTTATCATGGCTTGCTGTGGCTTATCACGTGATAAATTCGAATTTGTCACCAAACCATGTGATATCTCCGAATTTGTCATGTGATATTTTCGCGATCGTCATATGGCTTGGTGATAAATTCGAATTTATCACGTGATAAGCCGCATTAAGCCGCAGCAAGCCGTGATAAGCCGGCTTGT